ATAGCATTTCCAGGGTGAGTTTGGACAACTGGCAAAAATATTGATGTATGTTACCCCAAAGCTTGAGTCTAATGCCCTGGAGCGATTGAGTCCACTCAACACTCCAGGTAAACAAACAAAAAAAAAAAAAAAAAAGAGAAGAATCTTTATTATAGGAAGTGAACTAACAGAACACCTGGAACACCTGCAGCAAAGAGGCTCGTTATGTGTTCCAAGACACTTTGTTACAAGCACTTTTATACTGCTTCTCAATCAGGCTAGCCATGCACTGCCTGCAAAGGGGGCCTCAATTCTAACATTCACACGAAATCACAAGGTGGTCATGATGCCCCAATAAATATCTCAGGGAGGGTGGGATTGACTATCCTGGTGCCTGTCTGTCTAGGTGGTCACATCTTATCAGAACAGGGGCCAGACTCCTGGTTCAAAGCCAGACTCCTGATTCAAAGCTAGGCAATGATTAGCATTCCAATTTAAAAATAATCAAAACAACGTTTAAGAAACATAGACAATTTGGGGTGGTGATGGCGTAGAAGGTCCTTTGAGGCAGTGCTTGAATTGACTGTGTTTACTTTTAGCAAAATAGTTAGGCTCTCAGGATGGCTCATGTGGTCTGATCTCATATGGTGTCCTCAGATCACAGAAACACAGATAAGATCCACTGGTACCATTTGGAGACAAAAAGGACAGGGGAAACTTGTTACTTGAGGTACCCTCATCTCTAACGATGCATTTGCTGTCCAATCTTTTAAGCAACGTGCCTTGACTCAATAATATCCAGCTACTACTACAAGAACTTAAACTCTAAAGAAGTACTGTTGTCCATGTTCAATAGACTCCTGTCAACCTGAATTGAGACCTGGTTGGCCAGCAGTATGGCGAGACCTGGGGACTCTTGAGCCCAGGGACAGGGACAAAGCCACAGAGGACTACAGTGGAGAGTGAAGCGTCCAGCTCATATGATGTGAGGGGAGATGCACAAGAACGCCCATATTTGCAGATAGTACCCTTTTGACCTAGCTTCAATGTCTGGATGATCAGAACTCGACTAGAGGAAGAAAGAAGAGAAAAAATGTATAGTCTGCTATAATCTGATGAACTTGACCTATACTTATAGATGTAGTAGCTTAAAAGAGGGGGCAAATCTTTACAGCAAGGATCATTCCCACCCCTCTGTACACAGGTTTGACAGGGATGGGCAACTTAGACATTGGCTACCCAAAACGGGGGACTGCAAAGGCACAAAGTGACTGGCTTACAAGTTTTCAAGAGGGAGCCTAGTTTCAGAGGGTGCTGGGGAAGGTAGAATCTTCACTGAGTGGTTTCCAACCTGTCTAGATTGGGCTGGTGAAAGGAGATAGGGATAAGATTCTTGTGGTTCAATAGTGAATAATTGCTATCAGGAATGACTGTGAATGTTGCAAATGCAAAGGTAGACGTTTTGTAACAAAAGGAGGGGAGTGGTTGATCTTGCAGTTCAGGAGTGGAGGACCCTGGGACCACCAAGGGAGAAGAGTGGAGTGTGGGGACCCTATCCAGAGAAGCAACGATGCCAGAAATGGAGGCAGAGACAATGATGTGGAGAGATGGAGTGGCTGGGAACTCTAGAGTCGGGAAGGGAAAGGGGCTGTGTGCTGGTGGCCAGGGGGCAGGCTTGCAGGGTATGCCCTTTGCTTGTTTGAATAGTTGTATATTCCTGAGTGCTCTGATGTACATCAAACAACAACAGGGAATGGAAGCAAATGCTGTTGAATGATGATGCATGGAGGGGATTGTAGTCATTGCAATTAGACGAAGTACAATGGGATAAGTGTAAGGCTGATGTTCTCCCATGTAAACTATCACTCAATTCACAATAAAAACAAACAAACAAAAAACTGTTGTACAAAATATGAACAAAAATAGGGAAATTAATTTTGTATCAGATGGGGAAAAATCATATTCTTCTTGCAGTGGTGCCAATATATCAAAATGCTTACATTGTTCAACAGTGGAGTGGGACAAAAACTTAACAGCAAGGAATTCATAATATGTACATTTGTTAGCAGAGAAAAACCAGGGAAGTGAAAATAAAGCAGAATTATTATTTTTTAAAAAATTCCCATTGATTAAAAAAAAAAAAATCCCCTAAGGAAATTTAGGGACTTTAAGATTCTTAACTCTAGTTTCCTTTCTAAACTTGAGTTCTTTCCATAGTGTTGTTGTTGTTGTTAAGTGCCATCTAGTTGGTTCTGACCCATAGCGACCCTGTATAGGGTTTCCGAGGAGTTGCTGATGAACTGGAATTCAACCTTGTGAATCAAATGGACCTTGCATTAACCCACACATTAACACACAGCACCACACTAGTCTTTCCCCATCAATGTGTTCTTATTCTTACAGGAAGAGAATGCCATTAGTTGTAAGAGGACAGTAGGGCTGAAAGTTCTAAGTATACATTTTAAGAAAGAAAGAAAGAAGATCCCATTTATCTGTTTTTTTAAAGTTTTAATTTTATTTATGTGGGAGGACATCAACTTTATACCATCGTTTGTTTCATTGCAATGATTACAATTTCATCTATGCATCATTATTCAACAGTATTTAATTCCATTCCCTCTGTGTTGGTTTTTTTTTTGGCGGGGGGGGGGGCGGTATACACAGAAACACTAAGGAATATATAATTTAAACAACCAAAGGGCACATTCTGCAAGTCTGCCTCCTGGCTGCCAGCACTCAGTCCCTCTCTTTCCATGAGTCTAGAGTCCTCAGCTGCTCCTTCTCTCCGTGTCCTCATCTCTGCTTCCATCTCTGGTATTCTCTGGTATTGCTGCTTCTCTGGATAGGGTGCCGTATTCCATTTATCTTTGAATATATATATTCCTTCTCCAGGCAAGGGGATAAATGAAAGTTTACCACTGAGCTGTCCATACTTGGTTCAGAATTTGGCTAAGGCCAAGTTCACAGACTGCCCAGTATGTGCCAGAAGGCAGAATTCCTTCTCATTAGGCATGAAAACTTTGACTGTGACCTCATTAGAGCGTTAATCCCATCAAGTAGGTTCTAGAAATTAGGCATTAGGATAGCAGCAGCAGCCACTATCTGAGTACTGTATGACCAATGTCTTAAGTGCTTTTGAATCAGTTCTCATAGTGACCCTGCATAGGGTTTCTTAGGCTTTAAATCGAGAGAGCAGAAAGCCTCATTTTTCTCCTGTGGCTAGCTCGGCACTTAACAACAACACTGCATAAACACTTACTCAGGGCAAACCCACTTTGTGTCACAATACAACTCTGATTTATTGGGTTTCCAATGGTTGATTTTTATTTATTTATTTATTTTTAAGTAGGTCACCAGGCCTTTCTTCAGAGGCATTTCTGGGTGAACTCCATCCTTTTCATTAACATGGTTAGCAGCCTTTGTACCATCCAGGGACTCCAGCTACTTGCCTGCTTTTAAGCATTACCTGACACTGTAAATGCACATTTCACAAGAGTTTGATCTGCTGGGTTTCTGAAACAAGCTAATGAAAAAAGTCTGAAGACACCCACAGACTATTAAAGAATGAGTCCAGGACAGTGAATAATAAAGGATTAAATCCTGGTGTGGTGCCGTAGCATAATGCACTGGACCACAAAGTCGGTTTGAACTGCAAGGTCAGCGGTTCAAACCCATCACTCACTCCTCTGAAACACTATGCATGGTCGCTATGAGTAGGAACAGACTAGATGGCACTTAACAGCAAAGTAGTATAATGGAATGCTGTTTGCCTTCTTCATTCATTGTTCACTGAGAGTTTACTAAGGGATGAAGATGGTAACCACAGCAACTCTTTTCTACAATGCTTTATAGATTACAAAGTGCTGTCAGCATTTCATTTAATTTTCACCACAACCCTGTGTGGGGAGGGTAAGGTTATTTTACACCCATTTTACAGATGAGAAAACTGAGGTGCAAAAAAGGCTGTGAAGATGTGTCACAGTGATTAAATGGTGAAATAACAAAAATCCAAATCTTATTGTCTAAATTCCCATGGCTATAGTTCCCGCCTCACATGATGCTTGCAATTCTGTAGTGCACAAGCTTGTAGCAAGGAGCCCTGGTAGCGTAGTGGGTTACATGTTGGGCTGCTAACTGCAAGCTCAGAAGTTCTAATCTACCAGCTGCTCCAAGAGAAAGATGAGGTTTTCGGCTCCAGTTAAGATTTACAGCCTCAGAAACCCTATAACAGGGTCGCTGAGTTGGAACCGACTCGTCGCCACAAAACCACCACCAGCAGCACCAAGCTTGAAGCAAAGACCTATTATTTCAATTCCAGATCTTATTTATTTAAATCCATCCTCTTGGGGTGTGTGTGTGTGTGTGTGTAGGGGAGGAGAAATTTTCTACGTAGTTGTTGTTAAGTGCCGTCGATTCGTTCCCGACTCATAGTGACCCTATATAGGGTTTCCAGGGAGCAGTTGGTGGATTTGAACCACCGAACTTGTGGTTCGCAGTCCAGTGCTGATCCTACAGCGCCACATTAGGAGTTTTTGCTGGTCAGTAACTGGAGAAATAGGATAATAAACCCTACAGATAGCCCACAGGCTGCGCCACAATAGCGGGAAGGAAGAATCTCTGCTCCCGGTCCACACGGAAGAGCTGCGTGTACCGCTGGATTCAGATTCCATGGTCCTTGATTTGAAAGGCACCCGCACACAAAGAAACCGCGAAGTAAAGTTCCGGTGGCGCGATCCTCAGAGTCTGCAACAGGGATTCCCCTCCCAGCTCGGATGGAAACGCCTAGTCCATCGGGTCACCCTACTGAAAGCGACCTTCTTTTATTCACTGGTGCGGGACAGACAGCCCGCGCCAGGCACGCCCGAGATGCCCTAGAAAAACTACAAGTCCCACGAAGCTTTGGGGCGCGAGCGGCAATGACGAAGCCCTAGCGGATTGGTCACTCGGGGCGGGGCGCGCAGGCCTTCTCCGAGGGGCGGGGCGGGGCGCGGGGCGGGGCAAGCGGTGGCGGCTCTGCGGGCACGCCCCCTCGCCCGCGGCCCCCTCCCCGCCTCTCTCCGCCGCCTCCTCTCGCTCCCCGGTCAGAAGGCCGGAGCGAGAAGATGGCGAAGACGTACGATTATCTGTTCAAGCTGCTGCTGATCGGCGATTCAGGGGTGGGCAAGACCTGCCTCCTGTTCCGCTTCTCGGAGGACGCCTTCAACACCACCTTCATCTCCACCATCGGTGAGGGAGGGGCCGCGTGTCCGGGACAGAGGGTGAGGGGCGGGAGCGAAGGGGCCGCGGAAAGGCGGGGGGCTTGGAAGCCCGGAGGAGGGGATTCCGGGGGCGGCTGGGGAGCGAGGGACGGGCGGGGAACGTGGGCTCCGGGAGAAGAGGAACTTGGGGGCAAAGAGGAGCCAGAGGAAAAAGCACTAGGGGTATTGGGGAAATGAGAAAATTGAGGGGCTGACAGGAAGGGGTCCTAAAAGGATAAAGTGGGGGAACGCAAGAAATCTCCTGGGAGAAGGAAGAGAATAGTGGGTGTGAAAATGGATTAAAAGACAGGAAAGAGGAAGGAAATGTGAAGGGGGAAATGAAGGGTTGGGGGAAATGGGAGGGACATGAAGTAGAGGGACAGAGGACACCAGGGACAAGAGAGGTGAGAATCAGGCAAACGGGAGGGAATTGAGTGGAGGTGAGAAATGAGGGAGTGCACTGTCTCCAAGAGGTTTGGACAGAGATGTCGTGGGAGAGGGCAAAAGAAAATTGCAGGTGGAAAAGAGTTCAGGGGACCAGAGGATGGAATGAGGATACTTGGTGGAGAAAGTGAAGCAGAGCTGTGTTTGAAGGAGAAAGGCAAAGGAGAAACAGGATATATAGTAAAGAGAGAGTGTGCAAAGAAGACAAAAAAAATGGAAAAGAGAGAGGAAATAGAAAACAGTGGGGCGCAGGACTTTTCTCCAGGAACTGAGAGCGCTGGTGACCATTTTCTCTCTCTTACTTCCTCTGGATCATGTGCAGGAAAAAGAGCAGAAAGGGACTAGCGATGGAATAGTGTCTGTAGAGGGTGAAATTGTTCTCTGAGTGCTAATGGGTGCTAAGGGAATTGGTGATTTGGGGGAGTGGTATGGTCGGGAAAATATGGTTCATCCCTCTATTGCCTTCTCCTGAGAAGCAACACGTCTCAGTTTTTTTAAAAAATAATTGAGCTTAAATGTGTAACAACTTCTCAGCCAACAAATGGATCTTACATTCTTCCTTCATATTTTGCTTTGGTTCTAATTATTACTTGCCAAAGGAATCACAACATGCAATAAATATATCTCCCTGTCTCCCCTTTACTTCCAATTGATTTAAGAGTTTTTGTGTGTTTTTTTTTTCCTGATCTTGGCTGGGAACCATCTTTCCAACTTTTTTGGTGAAAACCATCGTAAATAAGACCTCGAATTTACCATAAACTGAAGAACAAATCAAAACTGATTTTAAGCTGATTATAGAAGCAATCTTAACATCATTTCCCTCACTAAATAGCAGCACCTTAAGAATCTCAATTTTCAGTTGTCTGGGTGATGTTTGTGGCCCCTAAAAGTAGCTCGTTCCGGCATCTTTCCAATGATTCCTACAGCTATTTCACCATTGATTTCTCGATTGGGAAATACTAGGGCTCTGGAAGTGTGTTTGAATTTTTGTGTGTTTAAAGCATAATTTATCTTGTTTCAAAAAGAATATTTAGCTCCAGAGTGTTCTTTAAATCAAGTATTAATAGGTAAGGCAATGTCTTGTTTATTTCTTTGTTTTGGCCTCTTAATTTTCATAAGGATTGGGTGGTCAGAAACCTCCTGTGTGTTGTAATGTCTGTTAGGGAAGTTTGACTTGCAAGTTCTTGGCAGTCAGCCTTGAGTGGGACTTTTTCTTCTTGTGAAAGCAGATTTTAAATGCCATCTCTCAAGTATAGTAGTCTTAAAAATTTGGTGGGAGCTGATACAGGAACTTAAGGGCATTTGTTTGTTTGTTTGTTTGTTTGTTTTTTTATGAGGTACTAATTTCAAAACCCCAAATTATCCCTTTTTATTATTGAATGCATAAAGGATAATTTTCAGCAAGTTGAGTGGGTAGTCTTTTGTCCAGTCTGTATGTGACCCTTTCAGAAAGTGAATGTGACCTGCTAGTGCTATTTCTATACTCCTTGACTAACTTTTGCTTGTTTGCAAGACTTCTGTTTTCTCTGTTGTTTTGTTTTGCCTTCATTTTCCCTCACTTCTTCTTCATTTTAAAATAGCAGCTTTTAAAAATTGCTTTTCATTCTGAAGGACTAAAATCTTTCTTGAGTGGATTATTATTATTATTATTATTTTTATTATTATTAAATGACTGAAATAGAGTTCTCTGTTGGGGTGTAGTTATTAAGTCATGAACACCAGGATCTTGAAACTGGTTAGGAAGTAGATCTTAAATGGGGTGAATCTGATGTAAGATTCAAGATCTTTGTATTTTCTGTGGGGTGGATGTGGTAAGAGGCTGTGAATTTGTCTGCATTTGACATGGAGGAGGGGAAATCCCATGCCTCTTATTGAGCCCCCTGAGCCCTGACAGGAAGTGAGAGCATAACTCACTACCTTCAAACAGCAAACAAATTTGCATACCTGAAACCTAATGTTTCCCAGTTGAAATTTAACTAGGAAATGAGGTGAATTAACACTATTCTGGTGAAAAGTCCTACAGACTTTTTCACTGTCCATAAACATAGGCTTGGGGGTGTTAACATCTCTAGCTGCAACATCCATTCCCCATCCCCTCACCTCAAGTCCTTCACCCTCAGCCCCAGGTGATTTAAAGTTGTTGAGGTGAGAATTGGAGATGCATTTCCTTCTCAGTCATAATTATTTCTTAAAATGCCTAGGTATGTGCTTTCCTGGGTTACTTTGGCTGGATTTTGACAAGGTCTGCGGACTCAATGGCACTTAACAACTACAACATCATCAGTAACAATAACAGCAGCAGTCACAGCATTGCTGACAAAACTTGATAAGGTCTCTGTCACATTTCCTTGGGTTTGTTTACGTGTGTATGGTCAGTATGTATACGTGCCTGTTTCCTTCCGTGAAGATACACTGTTGAGTCTTAATTTTGCTTTGTCAAAGTTTAAATCGTTTTAAAAGGGGCGTCTGCCATTTTTAGACGTTTTGATAGGAGATCTGCTATCATTAAAAGGAAGGAGACAATTAGTCATTTTGCCTCCAGATGCAGGTATCTCACAGATACTAGTCTTGTCTCTTCTCTAAGGTCTTGTTACCTTTCCTCATACTCTGGTCCCCTCCTTTCCTTGTTACCCTTCTGTTCTTATGGGTGAGTGTGGGGTAGATTTTCTTTCATCTAACTTATTAAAGATCCTCTAGTTCATCATTCAGATAATATTTGTTAACTGTGAAACTCTGAGTACTGTCGACTCAACATTTCATAGTTAACAAACATTATTATTTGTCAGTTCCAACTTATAGCGACCTCTGTATAGGGTTTCTGAGGAGTGGCAGGTGGGTTGGAACCACCACCCAGTGCTTAGCCTCCAGCGCCACACCAGAACTGTGAAAATAGGGCTGTTTTGTCCATTTGAAACTACAGGCCCAGTGTCTAGGACCAGTATGCCTTTGAGTTCAAGTGTTTTAGAACTCAAAACAAAACATAATCAAAATTGTCATTTAATTGCCTATAAAATGTAACAAAAGACAACTAGGAAACAGACAGTACCGGTTAGCTGTATATTTCCTGTGGGCTGTGGTTGTAATATTGTAATGTTGACATGAGGGTGAATTTACTTGGAATGCTAGTGGAACTTAAGAGAAAACCCAGCTCTGTCCTCTAAGGGGACGATTGCATCTTCTTCCCTCTCCTGCCCACACAACCCTTCTTCCTGTTAGGGTATTTCCTGAATGGTTTCTCAATTTAGTATAATCATAGTTTGATGGCAAAAAGTGCCTTAGAAGTTGTCTATTGTATGCTTCTACCCAAATTTTGTAAGTAAGAAAACCAAGGTTATGTTGACACCCTCAAAATCACACAACTGGTTGTATCAGCGCCTCTGTTGTTGTTGTTAAGTGCCAGCGAATCAGTTCTGGCCCATAGTGACCCTGTATAGAGTTTCCAAGAAGTAGCTGGTGAGCTTGAACCACCGACTTTGTAGTTCAAACCAACTTTGCAGTCCAGCACATTAACCCACAGTGCCACCCCAGGACTCCAGCAGTGCATCTAGGGGACTCCACGTCCAAGGCCATGTTGCTTTTCAAAATATTGAACTGCTGCTCATTTTTGATCAGGATGATCATGTCTATAAATTTAAATCACTACTTCTTCCAATAAAGGAATTAGATTTTGCATGCATGTGAAGAAATATGTTCCCACTTGTTTAGCCAAGTCTATTTTGGGAAATAGTAAATGCTTGTATCAAAGTCCTATAGGAGTTTACGCTGAAATAACTCAGTACGTCGCTGTCCTTTGCCCTTTTTTTTATGTGTCTGTAGTTGCATGTTGGAGATCAAAGTACATCCTGGTATTAAAATTCTTTCCGTGCACAAATGACTAATGAAATCATATTAATAGAGATATATTGATAATTGTTGATGCCGGAGGCCTGGTGTGGCACTGTAGGATAAGTACTGGACTGTTAACCACAAGGTTGGAGTTTGAAATCTACCAGTCACTCTTTGGAAACCCTATACGGGGTCACTATGAGTCAGAACCAACTGAGCAGCACTTTATAACAGCAACAACAGTCTCATCAGAAAGAGTTTTGGTGGTGTGGTGGGTTAAGTGTTGGACTGCTAGCCAAAAGGTCAGAGGTTGAAATCCACCAGCCCCTCTATGGGAAAAAGATAAGACTCTCTAGTCCTGGAAGGACTAACAGTTTTAAAAACCATAGGAGCAATTCTCCTCTGTCCTGCAGGTCTGCTATGAGTTGAAATCAATGTGATGGTGGGGGTGGTAGTGGTGGCGGGGGGTGGTGGCTGCGGCGGTGCGGCAGTCTCAACGAGAAGGAGCCCTGATAGTGTGATGGTGAAGTGCTCAGCTGCTAACAAAGTCCAGCCACTCTGCAGGAAAAAGATTTGGCCATCTGCTCCTTTACAGATTATAGCCTAGAAACCCCTTTGGGAGTAAGAGCCCGATTCGACTCCCCAGCATACAGCAAGGACAACCGAGCGCCTTCAGCTGTCTTATTTTGTACCATTGCCTATTTTTCTTAGCTTGACTTT